AGGAAAAAATAATTCATCACTTGCAAGATGATGCAAAAATGAACAATGTGACACTAATAGGCATGAATGAGAAAGAAGGAGTCAATACAAATGACATTTAAAGAATATGGACAGAAGTAATAGCAGAAACGTCCCAAATACGAGGAAACAATCTGACATTCATGTAACTGAAGCATACAGAACGCCAAGAAACCTCAACACAATTAAAGGCACACTGGGGCATATAGTAGTCAAGATCCCAGAAATCCAGCAGAGGAATAATATACTAAAAGCTGCTACAGAAAAGAAGCAGATCACATTCAAAGGAAAACTCATCAGAATTACAGTTGACTTCTCTTCACAAACCATGAAAGCAAAAAGAACATGGAGCACAGTACTTCAAGTCATCTATGAAAACAAATTCCAGCCCAGACTACTATAACCTGCAAAAACTCTTTCAAGTTTGATGGAAAAGTGAAATACTTCCATGACAAAGAACAGATAAAGAATTTCATGATGACAAAGCCAACCCTACACAGGCAACTGAAAGATATTCTACAGAGGGAATAAAATGATCAGAACTCCACGAATGAGAACAGAAGCAACCAACTAAATAGGGCAAGCAATTGAACACAGGAGAAAAAGGAGTAAACAACAGCAGGTAAAGAACATGTCAATCATAAGTCAATACATCTCAATTATAACCATCAATGTAAATGGACTGAAATCACAAATTAACAGAAATGGTCTGGCACAGTGGATTAGAAAACAGTGCAACAATATGCTGTATACAAGAAACACATTTAACTCATAAAGACATTCATAGACTGAAATTCAAAGGAGGGAAAACAATACTACATGACCCAGCACCTCAGAAAAAGCAGAGGTGGCAATCCTATGCTCAGAGATTCTCAACTTCAAACCAAGAATGATCAAGCGACATAAAGAAGGCCACTATATACTGGTTAAGGGTCAAATATAAGAGGAAGAGGAAACAATCATAAATATGTATGCAACAAACATGAGAGCACCCAACTATATA